ATCCTCCATGGGGGACAGCGGGAGAGGTTCACAAGGTCAGCGAACCAGGATCTCAGAGGCCAATACGGAGCCACGAAGATTATCTCCGCTCGTTCCTGTAGCAGTTTGCGAATGACTGCCGGGATCAGGGGGAGAGGGGAAAATGTGTAGAGCAGACCCTTCGGCCATGAAGCTCGAAGGGCATCCGCTCCCTCCGCCCCTGGGGATGGGAACTGGAAACAGAATCTTGGGAGCTGGGCATTCTCCGTAGAAGCAAACAAGTCGAGGACCAGTTGTCCGAACCGTTGTGTCATCTCTGCGGAGAGATCCAGATGCAGGCGCCATTTGGAGTGATCCATGGTCGACCTGCTTAGAAAGTCTGCTTGCCGGTTTGCCTCCCCCGAGATGTGCTCGGCCCTGAGGGAGGAAAGGTTGGTCTCTGCCCAAAAACCCAGTAGCTGGGCCTCAACCATGAGGGACCTGGACAGGGTACTCCCTTGCTGGTTCATGTGGGCCTTTGCTGCCACATTGTCCGTAAGGACTAGCATGTGCTGCCTCGCAACCTCATTGTGGAAGTGGCGGAGAGCCAGGTGTATGGCTCTGACTCCAACCAGTTGATGTTGTGTCTCAGATCTGCGCGGGACCAAAGGCCCTGCGTGAACTGAGATTGGAAGTGTGCTCCCCAGCTGAACATGCTGGCGTCCGTTGTAAGTGTAAGACAGACGGGATTCCTTGAATAGTGACCCTCTGGCTACCGCTGGCGAGAACCACCAACAGAGGGATCTCAGGGTTTGAACAGGAACTCTTACCTGTTGGTTGGATGAGCTGACGCCCAACCTCTAGAAGGGGAATAGAAACCATTGAAGACTCCGTGAATGGAGTCTGGCCCAAGGGACTATGGCGATGCAAGAAGCCATCTTCCCCAGGAGCTGGGAAAGTAGGACCAGCAACACTACGCGGTCCCTGCACACCTGGAGTGCTAGGTCCCGGATACTGTCCTGATGCTCTTGGGATAGATAGACCAGGCAGTTGACTGTCTATGACGGTGCTCAGGTGTAGGAGTCGGGTCGAGGGAACTGTCTGACTCTTTTGGAAGTTCACCAAGAACCCGTGCTGTTGAAGGACCTGGATTGACAAACTCAGATCCGACTGGGCCACCCGAAGGGAGGTCGACTGGATAAGAATGTCATCCAGGTAGCATTGAATGCATACCAGCACCAGCCTTAGGTGTGCAGTGAGCACTGCCAGGATCTTGGTGAACACCCTGGGAGTCGAGGAGAGGCCCAACGGGAGGACCCTGTACTGGAAGTGACGGCCTATATAACAGAACCTGAGAAACCGCCAGTGGTCGGGAAGGATGGGGATGTGGAGATATGCTATCGTGAGGTCTATGTACGTCAGGAAGTCTCCTTTCCTGACGCTCCCTAAGATGGAGTGTTTGCATTTTGAATTTCCGATATGCAATGTAGGAATTCAGACCCTTGAGGTCTAGAATCGTCCTCCATCCTCCTGAGGCCTTGGGGACCACAAAGAGGATGGAATAGAATCCCCCTCCCTGCTGACCAGCTGGCAACGGTTCTATGGCCCTGATGTCTAGAAGATGACGAATGGCCTCTTGCATGAGACCCCATATGATTGGATTCCATGACTGGGGACAAGGAATGAAGCGCCCTGGTGGGCTGGGTACAAATTCCAGGGACAGGCCGAATTGGATGGTTTGTAGGACCTAGGAGTCTGTGGTGGCGAGCTCCCACTGATGGAAAAAGAGGGACAGCCTGCCACCTATGGGAGGGACAGCCCGAGAGTCACTTAGACCTCCTGAAGAGGCGACCTCCCCCTCGAAAGCGCTGCTTGCTCTGGTGTTGTTGCCTGGGTCTAAAATCTGATCTGTCGTACGGACAGTCCTGTCTGGCCGTGAAGGGACAGGAAGGCTGCTAGCTCCCGAGCCTCTGGCCGAAAGGACTGTCTGCGGGCGTAAGGGTTAGTGTGCACGTCAGTCCGTCTGTTGAGGTGGGACATGACTTTCCACTTGTCCTTATTCTCTGTTAAATAAGGATCCAGGGCCTCTTGATAAGGAGCCGCCGCCAGATGCCACTTGGACTTGGCATTGGCTTGCCAATGTTTGAGCCATAGCATCCGACGTGCTGTGACATTGGATGCTAAGGACCTGGAGGCAAATCTGGCCGACTGCAAGGTCGCGTCCGAGACATACTTTGTCGCTGCAATCAGCTTACTCAGGTTTTGGTGAGTTCGTATGTCTTCCAGAGGGAACCTGGCCTGAAGTTGGCGAAGCCATAGGAGAGAGGTCCTGACAAAAAAGGAAATGCAAGTGGCCGTCTTAATCGCCCACGCTGCCGCCTGATGAATTCTGCAGAAGGTCGTGTTCCCATCTCCTGTCCTCCGTCTTTAGTGTCTTGGCCATATCTCCCGACACTGTGGACAAGGACACAAGAGGGGCCAAGGCTTCGTCCACCTTTGGTATGTCCATAGCATCAGTTAAATCTGGTGAAGTACTGAATAGCTTTTTGTCCGTTCCTCCCAGAGAAGGAAAGGAACCCGGGGAGACCCATTGTTTCCGAAAGGCGTTGAGAAAGAGAGATGGGCAAGGAACGTGGTGTTGAGCTGCAACTGTCTCAAAGAACACCGGATTCGGGTTAGAACCGGATGGGGGGTCCGGTTGAGGGACCCGATCGGGCCCTATGTTGGCTGTCGTGCTAGCCTTGTGTAGCAGTGGCAGGAAAAGGGCCAGGTTGAAGAGACCTCCAGGTGGAGAAGGGTCCGGGGGGAGTTCCTCCTCCTCTGACCATGGGAAGTCCGGCTGGTCATACTCTGCCAGAGAAAAGGCCCCATTATACAAAGAACAGGAAGGTGATGGGGGACCATGATACCCGGAAGCCCTTGACTGGGGAAGATAGGATGGAGGTACAGGTGGCATCGCTTCTGGTCCAGGCATGCGGTAGGACCGAGGAGAAAGTGCCTGGTCCACCGCCCAAGAGATCAGGTTAACCCTCAGAAGGAATATCTACGGGTCCGACCCCCGAGTCCGGCGGCTGTAGGGGTAAAGGTGGCTTCTGGACCCGAATGTAAAATCTGCGAGGAAAATGCTGTTGGATGGACGCTTGCATCATGAGTCACCCTGGAAGAGGGAAAGTGGTGGTAGAAGCCTCCTCCAGAGACCACACCCCCTGGGCAGAGGTTGAAGGTCCCAGAGGAAGGTCGAAGTCTGGGGCCACTGCCTGGTCCACCTCTGCCTTGGCCTGCCTCTGCGCTCTGGAGAACTCCTTCTCCAGAGCCTGGTGCCTTCTGCTGGCCTGCTTCTCCGCCAATTTGGAAGGCTTTTTGAGGATGGTCTTCGCCTTATGCTTGATCCTACCTGCTGCCTCCTGTTTGGAGGATTTGTGCCTTTCCTGGCTTGTGGATGGGGAGGCGGTGGCCGTAGGTTGGGACACCATGGAGTCCTCCATCCTGGGGCGAGCTATCTCAGGAGTACTGAGAGGGAACTCTGGCAGGCGATCAATTGGCGGGCAGAATAGTTGGAGCAGGGAACTGTAGGCTGCTCCCCTGGCCACCTGACCAGAAATTCAGTGCCCTCTCGGAGTCCGGTCACGGTTTCTTATTTGTGGCAGAGGCCAAAGCACAGTGAGGCTCCAAGTATCTGGCGCCACCCAGTTGGCCTTAAGTGGTCAGGCCAATACTGCACCAAAGTGCCCAAGGTTGGGCGCAGAGGGGCCTAGAATCAGGGCCTGGTTTTTGATGAATGCTGCTCTGGGAACCTTCACATGGTCAAAATGGCAGCTGTCCGCGGAAATGTTAAGGCAAGGTACAGGCTGGGCCTGTAAATAAGATGGCAGCTGTGCGAGGCTAATGAGGCCTGAGCGGCGCCCCAACGCGGATCGGTAAAGAACCCCCTGGTTCAGGCTAGTAGCCCCAAAAAGGTGATTGTGCTGCAGAAGTGACAGTGATGGTGAGACAAGGCCGAAAGGCCTAATGATCCCCTCAGACAAGGAGAGTGAGGTGTGGTCAAGATGGCAGCTGCCCCAAACGTTGCGACTGGAAAGGGATCCAATGGCTCCGCGGTGGGCGTGGGAACCTTTCCCCCCCGCTCAGAATGATCTAAAGGCAGCGTTTGGGGGCAGCAGCTCTTGAGAGGAACCCCCCTTCCCCCTCAGAGCTTCAGTTTTTGGCCATGGCTTTTTTAGCAGCAACCAAAATGGTGGCCGTAACTATCTGACGGTTGGAAAAAGCGTCCGGAGGCCAAGAAGCCTCATGGAGCTTTCCTGGGCAGCCGAGAGATATTGGAACTGCAGTGCTAAGCGCAGCACTAATGGCAACTAAAAACAAGGGGTGAGGCAAAGGAACAAGAAAATTCCCCAGAGCCCTGGGGAAAGGAAAGAAGTTACATCCCCCTTAGCCTTTAATTAGCTGATCTGAAGCAATGCTGAGCCCAGTGCTGCTAAGAAGACTGTGGAGGTGAGAGAAGAGAAATTCCACTAATTCTAAGAATGTGGGTGAGAGGAGAGGAAAAATTCACCAATGGGAGACTCAATACCTGTTAAACCTTGAGAGCCAAATCTGACATGTCTTTTAGGGTTGGAGACCAAACCAAGACTAGGTTCTCCTAGCCCAGCAGGGGGCGTGACAAGTTTGATTGACTTGGTCTCAAGGGCAGGAAGACAGAGCAAACTCATTGGTGGATTCTCCATCTCCTGTGCTGGAGAACTGCAGATGTTCACTAACTCAAATGTTAGGTATCTTTTTTGAATAACAGTTGAAATGAATATATAAGCAGACACATAACAGCTATAGAAGGACAGACCACATTTAAAAATAAAAGACATAAGACATTAATGCAATTGACATTACTGACAACTGCATAAAAATTAATTGCACTGCACATTCGTATTAATATCAATAGTAAATAACTTATCAGTTCTGATGTTTAAAAAACCCTTTATAAAATATACCCGCATAGACAATTAAAAATCTCAACTCAAGTATTGATGCTTCACATAAAACAGTACCTCTAAATGCCTGTTCTTCTTTGCAATCTCTCCTGGGGTCTGTCCATCTTTTGTCTGTATTGATTTATCAGCTCCAAGTTCAAGCAGCTTGAATACTACTTTTTTATGACCCTGGCATGCTGCCCATGTTAATGCCTGTAATGATTTATTAGCAGTTGTGATGGTATTTATTTTACAATAATAATTAAAAAAAAGTCAAAATGTAAATTACTTCTGAATGATCCCACTCTATATAACACATGAATAGTTTGTCTTCACATCCCAGTTCAACATCATGTCTTGCCAAAGTTTAAAACAAAAATTTGAAATAGGAACAGAGAAGAAATATGAGAAGAAACTGAGGTTAAAGATAACTGTGATTTGAGCTGAGATGCAATATGGGAGCACATAAATTAAATTGTGCAAAACATTATGCACTAGTTGTACCTATTCCTAAATCATGAGGTTCTGCTCAGTTATTCACACCTACTCATCTCCTGAATGGACTACTGTAACAAGTTTTATGTGGGGTTGCCCTTGAAGAGTATATGGAAGCTTTAGCTGGTACAAAATGCAGCAGTACGGGCAGTTATGTGTGACCCTGGAAAAACATATATTGCACCTCTTCTCCTTGAGCTGCATTGGTTATCAGTTTGTTTCCAGGTCCTATTCAAGTTGCTATTTTGACCTAAATGGCAAAAATCTGAATTATCTGAAGGATTGCCTCTTCTCGATTACATCTACTCATCTCATCAGGTCCAGCAAAAGAGGTGTGCCTTTTCTACCATAGCGCCCACACTTTGAAATATTAGCTCTGAGGCAAGATTAACCCCAAACCTTACAGCCTCCCCAAAGCCCTCAAAATATAAGTTTTCCATCAGGCCTGGTGAATGTTCTGGCAACAGGGAGCCCATGCAGAGGCTACATTACAAATAATAATTTGGTTTTAATCCTCTCACAATTTTGGTTTTAATAATTGTTTTAATTGTTTTTTATAACTGTTGGTTATACACTTCCCAGAATCACCTTGGGTAACATATGCAGCAATATGTTACAATAGTCTACTTTTTTGAAATATTTGAAGTTTCATAAAGAAAAGGAAATAATCTATTTAGGATTATACAAAAAGCTCACAGTGTAACCGCCATTATCTTGAGCATTTACTTGTGATCCATGAACAACAAGGAGAGCAACAACTTGAGACTGGCCTTCCCGGGCTGCATACATTAATGGAGTCATTTTCTTCCTACAGAAGAATTCATAATATCTATTAAAGAAAGAATAGCTAAATTCAAAGCATATTTTAATTTGTTATTAAATAAAAACAGCATTGTCAACCAAATATTTATGCATCACATGTTCTGTAAGAAATCTCAAGCCAGAAATTGTTAACTTCAGTGGAATGAATTCTAGGTTCCTTGCTTAACCAACTGATACAACTAATTGCTGATGCAAATGTTATCATGATCATGCTCCATCAAGCATAGAAAAAGACATAAAAATGAGACGACTCAAAAAGAAAAAATATTTCATCATTTTGCTAAAATTTTCTTTACAACTGACTGAATCCAGTCCTTGTCAGCATAATACAAAAAAAGACATTAAGACTCTAGAACAGTGGTTCTCAATCTTCCCAATGCCGTGACCCTTTAATACAGTTCCTCATGTTGTGATGACCCCCAACCCCCCATCTAGCTGGCTGGGGGTATCAAAAACTTGACCCCCCCCCCAAAAAAGGAAAAAATGGGAAAGTATAGGTAGTCCTCGACTTGCAACAATTCGCTTAGTGACCATTTGAAGTTAAACAGCATTGAAAAAGCGAATTATGATCATTTTTCACACTTATGATTGTTGCAGCATCCCCAGGGTCATGTGATTTACGTTTGGATGCTTGACAACTGATTCATACTTATGACATTCAGTGTCTCAGGGTCACGTGATCAATGGCCAGGGGACGTGGCCAGCTGATCACTCAGGTTGCAGAGTGCCTGTGGGGGGAATCTGTGAGTCTCTGGGATGGGACTGGGGTGGGTACCTGCCTTCCTTCCCTCCCTTCTCTCCCCTTATCCCTTCCTTCCTTTTTTTCTTCCTTTCCTTCACCTCCCTTAGTCTCTTCATCCTTCCCTCCCTCTCTCCCATTGTCCCTTCCTTCCTTCTTTCCTTCACCTCCCTTAGTCTCTTCCTCCTTCCCTCCCTTTCCCATTGTCCCTTCCTTCTTTCCTTCCTTTCCTTCCCCTCCTTCTTAGTCTCTTCCTCCTTTCCTCCCTCTCTCATTGTCCCTTCCTTCCTTCTTTCCTTCACCTTCCTTCCTCTTTCCCATTGTCCCTTCCTTTTCCTTCCTTCCCTCTTTGTCTCTTCCTTCCTTCCCTCCCTTCCATTGTTCCTTCCTTCCTTCCCTCTCTCATTGTCCCTACTTCCCTCCCTCTTCGTCCCTTCCTTTCTCCCCCCCCCTCCGTGCCCAGGAAGGGACAAGGGGAGGGGGACAGGCTGCCAGAGGCAGAGGAGAGCTCTGCCCAGCTCACTTGCTCAGCTTCGCCAGAAAACAAGCCGCTTGCTAAGTTAGCAGAAGCCCCAGGATCAGCGCCAGGCTACAGCTGATTCGTACTTCTGCTAAATTAGCAAGCGGCATGTTTTCTAGCAAAGCTCGAGCAAGTTTGCTGGGCAGGAGCCAAGGAGACCTCTACAGCTGACCTGCTTCTTGGCTGCTCTGCAAAAGCGCGGATCAGCTGTAGAGGTTCACCCCAATCCTGGACAAGAGGGAGGGAAGGACAGAAGGGACAAGGGGAAAGAGGGAGGGAAGGAGGGACAAAGATGGTGGCGAAGGAAAGGAAGGGACAAGGGGAGAGAGGGAGGGAAAGAGGAACAAAGAAAAGGAAGGAAGGAAGGAAGGAAGGAAGGAAGGAAGGAAGGAAGGAAGGAAGGAAGGAAGGGACAATGGGAGAGGGAGGGAAGGAGGAAGAGACCAAGAGGGAGGGAAGGAAAGGAAGTTCCAGCCAGCAGAGGCTTGGCAGCCTGGCTGCCGAGAAACAGAAGAGCGCAAAGCCAAGGAGAAGACATCTTATCCTCCCAAAGGGGGCTCCTTTTCTCCACCCCTTCCCTGGGTTTGTGGGGAATTTCTCATCACCAATGCTGACAGGTGCTGTTTCAAGCCCACTGTGAGCTTTCTCGCCCCCTTTGCTTCTCCCCCCCCACTTTCGTGAGGATTGTGGCGCCCTTGGGAAGCCGATCGTGTTTTAAAGCTTAGGAGAGGAGGAGGAGTCCCTTCCTCCTTCCCTCCCTGTCAAGCCCCGGCAGGCTTAACATGAATGGGCGGAGGAGTCAAGGATGGGCGGGGTGGCAAAGGAGACTGGCGGCCGTCGCCAGACCTCCCGGCTGACAAGCGCAAGTTCGGGGGTCGCCAGGAGTTGGGTGCTGCGGCGGCCTCCCCTTAGCTGACCTGCGTGCACGAGAAGAAGTCAGTCCGGTTGCTGCACAATGAGTCTCTGGGGAGGGCAGGCCCTTGCTCTGCGCATGCGCTCTTCATGCGCCCCCTGCAAGGCACATTTGGTAGAGTTCATGCAGACTGCCAAGCAGCATATTTTCCACAAACAAGTGAGGTGGAGCGGAGGGGGGGAGGGAGAGAAGGCGGTTGACAAGCCCTGCCTAAGACCATTGAAAATATGTGTTTTCCGATGGTCTTAGGTGACCCCTGTGAAAGGCTTGTGCAACCCCCAAAAGGGTCATGACCCACAGGCTGAGAACCGCTGCTCTAGAAAGAGTGCAAAGGGGAGCAAGAGAGATGATTAGGGGACTTGAGGGTAAATGGTATGAAGAACAATTGCAGGAACTAGGTTTGTCTTATCTAGTGGTGACATGATAGCAGTGTTACAATATTTGAGGGACTATCGCAGAGCAAACTGAGGAACAGATGGACAATTATCAAGGAAATGAGAGATAATTAAGGAATAATTTCCTGACAGTGAGAATAATTAATCAGTGAAACTGCTTGCCCTCAGAAGTTGTGGGTATTCCATCACTGAGGTTTTTAACAAGAAATTGGACAACTGATTGTCCAATAAGCGTGAGTTAGCTGCTTGAGCAGGCAGTTGGACTAGAAGACTGCCAAGGTCCCTTCCAATTCCGTTATTCTGAATGTTACAGATGTAAGAATATCATAGTTATAATGCACATTATTTAGAGGAATTACTTTAGAATTTTAAAATAATATTGTTAATCACATGTAAAACCACTAGAGGGATCTCTAAACACACACAATTTCCCCGAAGTGACCTTCTTTTCATCCCATTATTTCAATGATATAATTGTTATGGTTTTTTAGTTAGAAATATATAAACATCTAAAAAAAACTTGTTATAGATAGCAGAAAAGAAAGAAGTCAAGAATAAACTTTGTAAAGTAGAATTCTAACATAGACTAGTAATTAAAAAGTATTATTATAAACAGTTCAGAAAGGCTACTTTTTCTACCTGTACTGTCAGCTAAACAGGTATGTGTGAATGAAATAAAGCTGGGAGGAACGGCTTGTTCATAAATTATCTAGAATCATAAATATAGAAATGGCCAAATTACTCTGGATAATAAAGCCAAGTGGGCTGTAAGGACTTCCTAAATAGTTCGCCAAAGTGAACTGGCAAGAAATCAGCAAATGAATTAAAAATTCTGAAAGAGTACAAATTGTAACATTCAAACTATATCAATAGGATTTAAACAGATAGTAACTAAAGGATTTTTAGGCTGAGGTGAATACCGTAAATGCCGGCGTATAAGACGACTTCCGCGAGCGCTGAAATCGGCGCCAAAGACGGGGGTCGTCTTATACGCTGGAAATATTGGTAGTTTCCGGCGTATAAGACAACGTTCTAGGAATGCGGCCCGGCTATAAAGACGGGGGTCATCTTATACGCTGGGTCGCCTAATACGCCGGCATATACGGTACATGAAAATATCAATTTAGCTCTGGAAATTACTAAAATCCAGAAAAATATACAAACTAGAAAATGACAAAATGAGCAGTAAAAATAACGAAAGGGTAAGGGCATCTTTTGTCAAGGAAACAATAGAACTTTTAGACATGATCAGGAAGAGATGTAAAAGAGATTTAAAAAGTAAGTCTTGATGTGGAGAAAATTGGAACATTTTTTCTCTACCTCTTTTATATAATACCAGAATGAACTTGTTGACCAAATTGTAATGAGTCAATGAAACTGATGGCAGTAGTTTCTGCATTAACAGAAGTAGTGGATGGGCATGATTTTATGATTTAAGCAAATACTTTGCATGAGAAAAGTACTGGAAACTGAGTACAGACAAATCTTTAACCTATTCCTGCTTAATTTAGAGCAAATGTCTTTTGTACCCTAATCTAAAGAACCCAGCAATCAAAAGTACATACAATAATAATAAACAGACCACCTGACTTTTAAATGTTGTTTATGTGTAAATATATTTCATAAAGTAACAGTTTATTGAAATCACAGTCACAGGTAGCTTGATAGTTAAATTAGGCATTCAATTCTCTGTAAATCTTAATATACAATAGAATAATAAAATAGAATGTTAGAATCTATGCTCACTGGGTACTAATAACTGAGAAGGGGAAACTGTCAGAAAAGAGCTATATCGTGATTCCTCCCGGTTTATGGTATTCCCAAAAGTATATGACTGGCAACTATAAAAATATGGACCTTTGGTCTTACATTTCCCAACTCCTAGTCTCTTAGTAAGCATTTTAAATTTACTGCAATATACTAGAATGTCAATTGCTAACAATAAAATGAAAATAAACAATGAACAGTGGGAATTGTTACGCAGAAGAATGATTCACTGTTGCAACAATGAGTAATACCATTTTAGTCAAGGCTGACAAAACATCTTCATATGCTGATGTGATAAGATAGCTTGCAAACTGGAGTATAAAGAGAATCTAGAAGTTGATTTAGATGAGCTATGTAACAAAAAACAATTTACCCGATGGTAGAGGTTTTAAATATTAATAAAACTACTGAATGACTGAAAACAAATATTCCTTGAGTTCACCAAACAAACAACAATTTCAATGAAGATTTATAATAAAATTATTCAAGTTGTGAAATAAAAACATGTTGGGGGTCTGCAATAATATTCTATAGAAAAAAAAATAAAATACATAACAACTAAATATTTTAGTAATTGGCAGACTATAATTTTCATTTGTCAGAACTGGAATTGTTCTGATGACAATTTTGAACTCTGGTAGCAATTCAATAC